TTTATTTGACATCACCACCAAAAAGCCAAGAACGTTGATCGTATTCGAACACGCTGACTTTCACAAACATGTCTTCGATGTTCGCGGATACACTTTAATTGACCATTGGACGCGCATTAGTAAAACAAGACGGATCGTTTATTAGGGCTAAGCACTGAAGGTTTCGACTGCACCTTAACGCCATATTAAAAGTTTTGTGATAGAAATTTGACGAAATAAGATAAATAAAAATGACATTTTTTTTTCATTTAATTTATGTGAAGAACAAAAAATTTTTTCTTGTTAATTCGTCTCCTTCACGCTAATGTAAGCTACATATTGGCGCCAACAAATACTCTCAAGAAAAATTTTAAATAAACTGATGACTTTATGTTTTGCTGTAAGATGCGTATTATTTCCTTTCCAGCTTATTAGGTTTGTCGTTTGTGCTCTATTGGCTCATTTTAACTCACATAGAAACATAAAGTGCGGCTACTAAAATCTAAACTCGCTGTGGGAAAGTTTAAACTTATTATGAACAAATGAAAATAGCAAAGGGCGGATCTCAGGGGCGGATCTTTTCTCAGGGGCGGATCAAGATTTTCTCGAGGAGGGGACAGATTTTCGGCTCTTTTCCAAACCCCCCAACCCACCTTATATTAGCATCATTTTTGGGGTGTAATAAGGAGTTTCACAAGATTAGGTATGAAACCAAAATATTCTTGAAATGGCCTAATTAGTAACAATTGGACAATTAAAGCGGAAAAATTATTTTTAAATTATTTGCTTTTTGTTATTTTTTGACCCATGGCCGATCAAAATTTTTTTCTCTCATTTGACCTCATATCATCGTAGCTAAGCCGTATGGCCGTTTGGCCTTTCAAAAAATGAAGAAAGCTAGTTTGTTATAGCCTCAATTGTTACGTTTTTGTTCCAGAAAAACAGACAAAATTTTATTTTCTTAAAGTTAACTTCAAAATATTACTTGACGTGTACAATAAATACAAGGACCAGTGCAAAAGACTGTTTGAACCAAAAATCCCGGTTATTTTTCCTTTCACTTGTTTCAATTCAAACAAATTCATTTACTTTTTAGAAAAAGTTGTTTGAAAACATCAATTAGTCAACAGAATATTACAGTAATCCTTTTATAATTGTCCCAAAATTCTTTGTTTTTAAGTTGCAGAAGTTTTCTGTACTGTATACAAAAAACAACTATTGAAGTTTGGAGAGTAGATTGAGCTAGATGGCTATGTGAGGGAGCAATGGAAGACTTGTAATTAACAAATTCAAAAGGTTATCTTTTTTTTTGAAAAAATACCCTTGGCTCCATAAGGGTATTCCAAAAGTATTGAAACAAACTTTAGACCATCTTCGACATTTTAATGAGCTATCGAAATTAAATTGAAATGATGTATCCTACAACAAAAAGCATTATTTTTATAATGAGGCGTGCAAAGGATTCTTTTAAACATTTGATTTGAACTGAAAGTGCATGTGTGTTTGAAAATTTTTTTGCGTGATGAGGAAAAGTAAAAAAGCGTGATGAGGAAAAGTAAAAAAGCTTACACAATTTCAATTTGAAATTCGTGGACAAATCGTAGCGATCTAAAAAGTTTCCATAAATTTCTTTACACCAGTTTTTAGCTATAACATTCTTCTAAAACACTGAGATATCCCGCATCCAGTTCCAAGCGTTAGTCATCGATTATATTACGATTTTAGTACCAGTCTTAGTTGAATTGAGAAACAATCGATTTTCATCGATTAATAATCGATTATAATGTCTCTTTTTAAAATCAATATATAATGAATTATAATCCATTATGATGGATTATAATCGGTTATTCATTCGTAAATATTTCGATACAAATATAATCAATTATAATTGATTATAATCCATTATTTTTATTCAAATTTCTAACTCATTAATTTTGCACAAAAAAGCTTTATAATCGATTGATTATAATCTTTTTTGCTTGTCAATTTTGTCTTCGAAGTTGCATCTAAGCTGCTTATTCTTTATGCTTTTTGTAGACGTTGGTTTCTATGAAAAATTAGAAAAATATTTTTAAATTTTTCATAGAAACCAACGTCTACAAAAAGATAAAGAATAAGCAGCTTCGCTGCAACTTCGAAGACAAAATGGACAAGCAAAAGGATTT